GGTGGGCGTGCAGGAGTATTTCTGTCCATCCTGTTTATCTGAACGTGTTTAGTGTCCCGTAGTAGACAAATATTTTGTCTTTTCTGCAGGCATCCTGCAGTTACAGAAAAACCTAATGTGTAATGACTAGGAGAGCATGTTGCAATGCTAAGACACACATGTTCCAAAGCCCCCTCTGACCAGAGACAGCCAGCCAAGGAGCAGATGCAGGACTCACATTCTCACACCCACACAGGCAAATATGCAAAGAACAAGCATGTGTACTAATCCAATCAACAAATCTTACTTCGTGGTCGAACTCCCCAAGAGATTTGTCCAGTATGTGTCCGTATTACGTGTTTAATGTTCAATGTGTGTCCATATACACTGTTTTATGTGCAGTGCATGTTTATGTTCCATGTCCAGAGTGTGTCCATGTCAAGAGTTTGATGTCCAGTATGTGTCCCTATAGAGTGCTTGATGAGCAGTATGTGTCCATATCGAGTGTTTGATGTCACATATGTGTTCATATGGAATGTTTGATGTCCAGTATTTTATCCATATGAAGTGTTTTATGTTCAGTACATGTCAATTTGTCCAGTATCCATTTATTTGGATTATTTGATGTCCAATAAGTATCCCTATGAAATGTTTAATGTCCAAAATGTATCCATATAGATTTTTGATGCCCAGCATTTGTCTATATGGAGTGTTTGGTGTCCAGTAAATGTTCATATGGAATGTTTGATGTCCAGAGTGTGTCAATATGGAGTGGGTGATGTCCAGTATTTATCCATATGAAGAGTTTGATGTCCAGTATGTGTTCATCTGGAGTGTATGATGACCAGGATTTATCTAGTGTGGGTCCATATGTTGGGTTTGACGTTCACTATGTGTTTATATGGATTTTTTTATATCTAGCAAATAACATTTTGTCAAATTGCACTGCAATGTGTAATCGTTCATTCACCACTACTGGATCATTATCATATTCAATTCTTTTGATGGTGTATTTCTCTTTATAAAAGAAAGTGGTACATGATGAGACCTCTTTCTGTGTCACAGTAATGTGGAATACCTCTCTCTGCTCATACTTGCTTCACAATTAGGCTCCCAGAGGGATTGTGCTGGATGTTGTGTCATGACTTGGGAATGTTTTAGCAAAAAAAGAAGACTTGGAACAGGGATAAAGAATTTCATTTTGGGTCTCTCACGTGCAATTTAGCAGTGGATGAGAACATCGGCGTGCAAGACGGATTCAAACAGCTATTGTTTCTCATTACAAGAATAACATCTGGCCTCATGATGCACTTGATCACGGATATGCTTTTCTTCTGTCTATGACATCATCACTGAGAAGTTTTGTACAGCACTGTGAAAACTGATAACATGATCTCATCTCTGTTCAGAACCTGTTAGTAAGGCTGGCAATATTTTCCAAAAGAAAAATTAGAAGTTGGTAAAATTCTCTTGAAATTGCTCTTTTTTTTTACAGATTCGAAGATGTGGCTGTCGATGGGTGTAGTCTGTCTGTTCCACTGTGTCGTTGGACAGCTGTTTGAGACCAAGCTGAAAGGAGCATCACGTCTAATCTGCAGTGTCCCCGGGTCACCGGGCCTGCCTGGCAAACCTGGTCCCACCGGGCCCCCGGGAGCAGATGGATATGTGGGTATCCCAGGAAGAGATGGCAGAGATGGCAGGAAGGGTGAAAAGGGAGAAAAGGGAGAAACAGGTATAATATCAAGCCTAGAAAGATAAAGTGTCAGTTCATGTGTACAAATGCACAAATACCACCAGTTTGTGCAAGAGAAAAGCTAGCACAGAAATTTTCTTTTTCAAAGATAACTGCTTACTGAACTATTAACATCATTGTTTAAAAGGTGTTGGACAAGCTTTGTAGGAGCAGTTTAGAATAGCACCTTCTGCAGATGGAAAGATAAACGACAACTTTGTGATAACAGGCCTCAAGCTTACCCAAAAGGTCATGAGCCTCATGGACAGTACAAAGCAAATAAGTCATGTGCATGAAAGAACACATTCATAAAAAAACATTTAGTGGAAAACAACAAAAATCAAGATTCACAAACTTTTAGTCAACACCTGTTTGTTAAAAGCAGGTGAGGTTTCCCAGTGGCATGGGAGCAAAGCTGTATGACCACAAGCCAACCTTGGATGTTTGTTGCATGTCATTAACATATCTATTTGTGGTTTCCCTCAATACAGTATCTATCTTGTGTAATCTATCTATGTAAGTATAAAATCCCTTACAATTGACAACTAGTAAGTGAACAACATCCACAGTGACATGTTTCCCAATGTCAAGATGATTCATAGTTGGCAGAATTTAAACATATATTTCAATAGATGACGTACATTTTACAAAAACACAAGTGTGTTTGCTTTTGTCGGATCTGGGTAGCAGTGGACAGAAGTTGGCTGCTTTAACAATCAACAGATAATAAAAACAGCATATTAACATTTAGCTTATAATTCTTGCTCTTTCAATGCAATTGTTAAGACATACAGTTTATTTTCATATGGCTGCTGTGCCCTCATATTTCATAGTTTTTACTCATTATTGAAGGAGAGGCAGCGCAGGCTGAGTCTACATTTTTGAAATGGCTTGGGAGGGTTTCAACCTGCATTGAATGTTTCACTATAGATGCTGTCCAATTTGTCTTCACCCTGTTCCAGATTTCCCACTACACTTTCAGTTTATCAAGCTGTTGCTCACAGCTTGGTATACATCTCAGTTTGTTTTTAGATAAACCAGAATGTAAATGTTTTATTGAGTAAAGATGGCAAAGCGTCTTATGATATTTGATGGACTGTGTCTGTCTCTTCCAGCAGAAAGATTGGACTGATATCATCTATGCAGACTGACCTGCAAAATAAATCTCTCAGTGATAAGTGATAGTCTTGGACCTGAGGTTTCCATTATGTGTGGAAACAGGAATTCAGACAAACAACTTCATCTTAACATGAAACTACAAATTCGCCTACTGTTCTCCACAAACATAAGGTGATTCAGTGTTTCCTAGCTCCAGGATATTTACACTGAGGATGTGGAAATAAGCCAGATACGTGCTGTGACAATGTCAAGGTGGCTATGTTCCAAGCATAACTTAACACCTGACACACGGTGGGAGTTGTATTTCCATTGAGTATTTCTTTCATATTCTGGTTCAACAAGTGCACAACAGAAACTCACCGGGGATTGACAGAAGAGAAAGAAGTGTAAAAGCAATAATGATGATTCAGAAATTATGACACCAATGTGATTTTTCTGTTTCAGGGGGGAAGGGCAGGGTTGGCCCAACAGGTAAGATTGGAGCCAGAGGTGACCGTGGCCCTGCAGGGAAACGAGGCCCTACAGGAGAGAACGGAGATTTGGGCCCACCTGGTGCTCTCGGCCGTGAGGGAGAGAAAGGGGACAAGGGCAAACAAGGGCCACGCGGCACTGCAGGAGCCTGCAGATGTGGCAGCCTGCTGCCTAAATCGGCCTTCTCTGTGGGAATCACCAGCAGCTACCCATTAGAGAAGACCCCCATCAAGTTCAATAAAGTCCTCTATAATGAGGGCGAACACTACAACCCACAGACGGGCAAGTTTATCTGTGCATACCCTGGCGTTTACTATTTTTCATATGACATTACGCTGGCAAACAAACACCTGGCTATTAGTCTGGTGCAGAATGGCCAGTATCGCATCAAAACCTTTGATGGCAACACGGGAAATCATGATGTGGCCTCTGGGTCCACTGTGATGTACCTGAACCCAGAAGATGAGGTGTGGCTGGAAATCTTCTACCAGGACCAGAACGGTTTATTTGCAGACCCTGGCTGGGCTGACAGCTTGTTCTCCGGCTTCCTTCTCTATGCTGACACAAACTACTTTGACGCACTGGCAGAGGACTACTCGTAAAACCCGGACAACACAAAAACCAAACCGAAAACCTCTAGTCACTGTTATTTTCATAGTGTTATTACACATATGTTATGGTCGAGCTATATTTTTATACAAATGTATGTACTATTAGTTATATTACTAAAGAGATTTATCTACTGATTATATAATTTGATAAAGCTTGAATGAGTATCTGATATATTTGTTTTGCCTGGGAGTCAATAAGTTAAATAAACATTGTTGAAACAGAGGGCTTGGTTTCCTTTAGAAAAAGACAAAACTGAAACATGAGCGATATATGATATTATAAAATATAATGTAAAAATTCAAAACGGTAGAGTTGAAGTGTTTCTGCCAAAAAACACAAGTTTGTGTTGGGGAATTTGCATTTGTTGCTTCTCTTTTATTTAAAAACAAATTGTATATCTATGCAAACATTGCAGATCCGTTGACACAGAAAATAATAACCTAAATGACCACACACATCAATATCATATAGAATTAACAAAACAGTAATATATATTTATACAGTTGTAGAATCTTGATATATTATTTAAAATAACATAGAAATCCTCGAAAAAAATTTGGGGTATTGTTTGCCATTCTGTATTTTAATCTCCATCTTTAAAATATGTAATACACATTTTACAGTCAAAGTTTACACTGTGATTAGTTGTACACAATATATAATCCTTCAATCGAGTCCAAACGGTAATTGATGTCATGGTGAAATAAGTGAATCAAACAATCAGGTTCATTGTTGAGCCTAAATGGGTCACTTGTAAAAAAGCAGATGTGTTCCAAAGAACCTAAAACAAAGGTGTAATCTGAATGTACACCTCATGTGGTCAATGAATATGTTCCAAATAGCACAAAACAATTTACCTTTGGTTTTCATTCAGCTTATTTGTTTCCCAGATCTTGCAAACAAGAGCAGACGGCCCAAGTGCCATCACTCCATGGGGTATGTGTGAAGTGTATTCAGCTCTGGCGTTAGCATCCTCTTACATCCCATAGTAAAATTCTCTGCCTGTTACAGAAGATGCTCAAAAACGCATTTGCTACTTCTCGGACACCGTAGTGAACAATGCGTCATTGCGTCCGACCAATGGGAAGCCAGCACTGCAGAGAGCAAGGTTGTCTGCACCGCTGGTTGTCGCCAGGGTGGGTTGAGATGTAGTTTACGTCGTTACTAGGCAGCGGGGTCGGCTCTGCGGATAGAAACGTCTCGCTGCCTCTGAGTGAAGTAATCACACGGACTGGACACAACACTAGCGGACACGGTCTGACTTCTTCAGCGGGGAGGAACCATCCCCGTCAACATGGCGTCCTCAAGGTTCATGTCTACTCGGTTTTCTTTATTAAACAACTGTACCGTTAGCAGAGCGTCCCTGAAATGTAGCCTTCCATGCTAAGCTAGCGTTAGCTCTGTTTAAAAGCTACCTTTCTGTTCCAGCGACATAAAAGAAAAGCTGCGGAAGAAGGGACGTGCTCTGCAGGAAACTCTGGGAAAAACCCGACATGAGGACGACGTCCAGGTAAAGTTCCAGTGGTCCACATGCATGAACACAGATTGAGATAAAACTAAAGTTTGACTCCTTTGCTCTGCACTGATGGTAGCCCCGTGATTTTGAGGTGAAATGAACAAGAGTCCTCCCCAACACGAGAGACTCGAGTCAGACCCACAGTGAAGCTGCTAACTCTTTAGCTCATATAATTATACTCGATAGGCTCTGGTTCCGTCCGCCAGGTTGGGTGAAGGGAAACGACACACCACGATGAAGGTTGGTGTGTGTTTGTTCTGTAGACAGTAGCTGTAGTTGCCCTCCTGTGTGCTGCTGGCTGCTCGACACCACATCCCCACTATCCTCCTCCCCCCTCTTCCAGCTTACCTGAGCTACTAAGCAGTGTGGATGCAGGCAGAGTTAGTGGCTGCAATTTCTCCTCACTGTGTTTGTGCTGCACCAGGAACTTCAAGACGGTGGGGGAGACATGGGAGAGACACTGAAGCGCAGATTCAAGGAGCAGAGACGGAGGCGAAAGACAAAGGTACTTCATCTTCAGTATACTGTATGTAAGGTTTCCAAATTATTAAAAACAAGTGTATTTGCAGATCATACAAACCTACTTTGTTGTGTGATGGATGTTGGATACCACAATGATGGAACTAAAAACTATTAAGAGTTGGTTTTATACAATAAATTAACACGGAACAGACCCACTCTATAAAATTCAAAGCACAGATTTGGATGACTGCCTAATTTATGGAGAAAGCAAGAGAAATTGTTACCCAACAGTAGCCAAAGTTGTTTCAAATGAGAGAAAATCAGCATGAGCAAATTTAAAAACGATATCACTGTGTCTAGATTAATTCTGCAAAGGAACTGAAAATCTTAAACTAATGTTTAAATATAACATGGGTATATAATGGAAAAGAATGTGTAGGTTCTCCTGTTGCTGAAGTAGACACAATAAGCTCACACTACATTCTGTCTCCTTCAGACATCAAATGTGCACTTAAATGGTTGTTTTTGTCTTTTTTCTTGTCTAAAATGCCAGATGAACTTTTCATTCATTCATTCATTCGTCTGTCAACTGTCTCCACTTATGAGCTCTGACACTAAAAGTGCTAATCACTGCTGCATTTCTTCTAAATATTAGCTGCTTGAGCAGTCTGCAGCCCAGGAGTCCCATGATGATGTGGAGGAGATATCCAGCATCCAGCACCACAGCGAAAATGAGGAATCATCTGAGAAGGCAGCAGAGCCAGTTGTTGGTTCCAGACCTCCAACTGGTTCTCAGAGAGGTTGGTGTCCCATGGATCTGTCTCACCTGATGCCTCAGTATAATGAGCTGCATTTCTCAAAATACAGCCACAAAACAACTGAAAATAAATTTCTCTGGAAATCTCAGATGCTGATGAAGGGTGTTATGCCAAAATAAGAAAGAGACAATTTAGTCCTACAGTAAAGTGATTTGAGAAAAGGCCTTATTCAAAATGATCTTTCTAAGGGCTCATGCTCTGTGTCCTCTGATGACACCTGTAGTGCATGTTTTAAGTCTTTTTGTTGCATATACTTTTGCATATAAGTTTTTTTTAAATGTAGCTTTTGTTTTTGTTTTGTTCATTTTTAGTATTTGCTCTGTTAAAGGCACTGTACTCGATACACTTTCCTTATTTCTTTACAATACTGAGTGATATGTTAAATTGTTGTTTCGTGGTGTGCTTCTGTTCAGGTCTCTCCTCAGAAATGCAGCATACTACTGGTTCTCAGCATTTAGACAGCTCTGTCAAAAAATACTTGGAAGAGAGACTGAGAGCAGCAATGGTAATTCCAATTGAATCATTTCCACACAAACCAGATGTTATGTTTAAATAAGAATTTAAAAGATATTGCTTACAAAATCCATCTTTTAGAAAGTGCTGATACATAATGACTGGCCTCTTTTGTTTCAGTCTAAAGGTCAGAGCCTTCAGCAGGAGAAGGCCTCTCCAGAGCCAGCCAGTCGCTTACAGAGCTTCAGAGACAGAGACACTGTAACCAGGTTTGACAGAGAGGTGAGTATGTTCCTCAATCCATCCATAACTATACCACTGTGGATCAACCCTGCAATGGAAGTTTAACTCCCAGTGTTCTACAGGTTGAACCAGACAAAGCTGGAAGACATAATGTCCCTCCGGACCTTAGCAACAGGGTCAAGTTACGAGAAGCAACAAGACAAGTAAGACGTAGAAAAACATGCAATCCTTTATGTACTATTAATTTGTATCGTTGTATTTATTTGTTCTTTTCAAATGCAGACAGAAAAAGGATTCCCAACTGCTGAAGAAGCATACAAATTCTTTACATTCAACTTTGAGCCAGATCCACAACATGACACAGAGAAGATTAACAGGAAAAGACAAAAACAAAATAAAACAACAGAGGACAGAGACGAAGAAGGGGGACATGAAGCTCAAGATCAAGAAGATGGTGACATAGATGAGGACAATCAAGATGAAAATGAAGACACCAACAATATTGTAAGAAAGTATTAAATTGTAGGGTAGACCTCACCAATAATTTGTTGAGTTTTTATTGTATTTTGTGAACATCACAGAAACGGCAGCTTCACAAAATATATTTAGGCTCAGTTCAAATTAGGGCCTCTATTCATAGTGTCCATTCAGGCCATACATTTTCTCTTTGATCAACTACATTATCATAATGCTCATCTATGTGTATGTGTGTCATAATTATTTCCACATGATTCATAGCTGCAGTTGCATAAGACACAAGTAGGTTCCGACTACCTCATATTCTTTCTCCTGCCTCAGAGTGAAGAAGTTCCTTTGGTTCGAGGTGAAGAGGAAGATTTATTCCTCATTGAAAAGTCGTCCCAAGACTTCCTGGAAGTGAGAAAAGCAGAGTATGTTGGGTATCAAAAACGTATCCAGAGAGAAAGAGAAAGTGAGCTTCTCTTTACACCAAGTTCTCGACCAGGTACTCTAATGCAGTGAACCACCTGATAAACACCCAGATGATCAGTTTTATCATTCTGTTCAGGATAATAACTATACTATAATGTTTCATTTATCATTGTCACAGTGCCAACATCCATTAAACTACCTGAAAACATGAGGCCCCGTTATCTCGAGGATGAGGGTCTGTATGTGGGAAAGAGGCCCTCTATGTCCCAGAATAATGAGAACATTCTGGAGAGCCGCATTTTAAAAATGGAAGAGGTAATCTCAACAAACATATTAGACAGCTCAACTATGTCACTGGCTCTGAACCCTCCAGGAATTCTATAAAATGCATTTTAATTCTTGTTATTTTTTAAGGGAAAGAAGTGGATCGGAGATGATGGCAGGATCATGGCTCTGCCGGACCCCATTAAGGAATCATCCACAAGACCCCCTCTCTTCCACATGGAGGAGGACCTGGACCCTGCTCTGCAAACTGT